CCCCAAAACCCCAAAACCCCAAAACCCCGACAATCGATATTTATGCATTTGAAGAGGGTTATTGGCAAGCAGGAATTAATAATTTCTAAAATATTATCATTTATAATATGAGCAGTACAGCTGTAAGTTTAAGTTGAATTTTGAGTTAATTTCTACTCATAATTACTCAACCAAATGTTTAATTAATAACAGTTATAGCAATACCCAAGGAGAGTAGAAGGCTATTTTAAAAAAAGAAAAAATGATAAATCAATCAAAATATTCACTAAATACACTAAACGATTTTTTGTTTTAGATATAGATGCTGGTACACTTTCATATGGTCCCGATAAGGGGAAGCCAATGACCAGCACTATCATGATTTGAGTAAGTGTCTTATAATAAAAATATGCCCGATTTTTTGAACAGTAGAAGATTAATTAATATCACTATAGGAAATAATTAGAGCCGATAGTTTGAATGTGGTTGAGCAATTTTCTGCGTAAGTTAAAATTGAAAAAAATGAAGATCCATTTAAAGATAAGAACCCTGCTGGCTGGGAACACGGTGTTATTGTAGAAACTAAGGACCGAATTTATAAGCTATACTCAAATGACTATAACTTCAAAGAGCTTTTTGTGTTTGTTTTAAACCAATCGCTAGCTGAAAAAGAATAGTATTAGCAACGATGTACTCAGGAGACAAAATATAAAAAAATTAGTGGAGGACTCTCAGAAATTTAATTAGATAATGAATACAAATAACTTAATTAATTGACTGAGGAGAATCAAGCCAAATAATACTCAGAAGGTAATCTCTATCTCAGAGAGTATAATAACTAGGAGAGTGGAAAATTTGGGAATAAAGTATAGAAGAGAACAGAGTCAGTTAAAGCTCCTCAAACTAGAAAAAATCTCATTGTTGAGCAAAATGATGAAGAAGAGAAGCGTTAAAAATTAGACTAGAGAATGCTATTGTTAAAGCAGAGTAAAAGAAATTCTGAAGGTTTACAGTCAAGTTAGTTTGAAATAGAACCAGCAGACTTACCTTACAAAGACAGAGATGGAGATGACAAAAATATAGCCGATAGAGACTACATGATCGATAAATCTAAAATAAATAGAATGTCTACATCTGAATACACAAATTATTAAATAGAAGATTCCTCCTACATTAATAATATTTAGTCTAGAGTTCAGTAAAATAATCTATAAAAGGGAGTCGAGAATAAAAGCTTATTTCAATAATCCGATTATTAAAGTTAAAATGAATCCAAAGAGTAATCCAAATAAAAATCTAACATAAACTCTGATTATCCTATTAATTAGCAGACACAATCTAATGCCAATATCAGGCATAGATAGAGACCACCATCACAGAAAATGAGAGCATCTCATGGATCATTGCCTCGAGATGTCTATGGAAATATGAGTATGCCGGCTATAACATAAAAAAGGCATCGAAAATCAGTCCAAGAAAAGCTAGAAAATGCTTAAAAGTAACTTATTAAGTAGAGTTAGGAAGCTGATCGGTTAAAGGAAACCTCTGTAATAGAAGAGAGAATAATTCAAGATCAGGAATATGAAGCCAAACCAGTAGTTGTCAAGGAAATCATATCAACAGACATTCATGTGGAATCAATAGTGGAGAACTAATCTACAATACTTTAGTACGCATAAAAAATTTAGTCACCAGCAAAAAAGAAGGTTCGAAAAAGAAATTCTTAAAGATGTAATATTCCAACTAATCAAAAGACTATTGAAGGGCTTTCACAGGAAAAAGCAATAAGTTAAGAGTATGTAGAATCTAAAAATACCGAGGATAACATTGAAGAAATAAGCAAGTTTGAGGAAATTCAGCTAGATTAACCAAATATTAAGGAATTAAAAGTGATGCTGATAAATGAAAATGAAAGCTTAAAAGACTAGGTTGAAAGCTTTCTTGAGCCTTCAAATTATCAAAACTAAGTTATTATCAAATAACTGAAAAAAGCAGTTATAGATTTAGACATTAAAGATGATTCATTTATTAATGAAGCAGAGGTATTGTAAATAAAGTCTCCTACAGAGCTAGATTTGGCCCAAAGGACAAGAATTAGCTAGCCTAACGATCTTAAAAAGCAGAAAAGTATTAAGGAAAAAATACAAGATATTATTGATGATAGGGGTAGTGATCTTAGTGATAATGAAGATATTTTAGATTAATCAACAACTCCTATTGGAAATGATGACTTATTTAAGTCATAAAATCAAGTACAGCCATTAAATCAATAGATTAAGCTTTAGTTAGATACTTAGAATTTCTCTAGCTCAGTAAAAGAGAACTAAAATAGGATGAGATCAGCAAGCATTTCCGATATTTAATCAAGTCCATCAAAATAAAAATCTCATATTTTCAATAGTTAGAGTAAAAATGGCTCATTCCCACTCAAACATATTGGCAGATTAGAGAGTAATTTTTATAAATCCGGAGGGCCCTAAGCAATATCCTCTAAAGATCAACAACACATTTCTAATGTTAAAACAGAAATCTCAAGTAATGTCCTATGTCAGGAATAATAAAATTAATTTCTCGAAAAAAGCAAAAGTTAATCTGAAACCTCCTAATAAAAATCATAATACACAGACCCCTATTACTTTGATAATAACAACCCTCAGTCAAATGAAAAATTAATTGAGATGATCAAAAGCAATTTATCACAGCTACAGAGATACAACTAAAGTAATCTTAATCAAGCGAATGTAGAAGGTCCGATCGATAATCCATTAGCTCCATTATAAGCTATTTCAATCAACGCTAAATGTTAGTCAATGAATAATAAGAACTTTGAAAGAAGCGATTTATTTCATGCAGATGCAAGCACGAGGTTGCAGCTGCTAAATAAATGGGATAACAAGTTTGGTAAATCAAATATAATGAGTGAAGAGAAATCTCCTCAGGAAAAAAGCCAGCTTAATGATACTTATGAATGGGATAGAGATGATGAAGATGGTAGTTAAAAGCATTAAAAATCTGTCGATGAATAACACAACAAGAGCTTAATAAATTTTAGATACTCAAACTAAGGGAATGCTGGATTCAATTCTACCAACAATAAAATGCTTTCATCCCAGTACCCTAATAGCTATGGCATGGATAATTTTGAGCAAGCCTCAACTAAGCATACTTAGAAAGATAAAATTAAGCAATTTCTAAATCAACCTCAAATCAATCATGGTAAATCAGCATCGACAAAGCAAACTCCAAAGTAAGATAAAAAGCACCACCATTACTAAGATTAGGATGACTAGGAACTGCATTTTTAAAGAAAGCGCCATTAGAAAACTAAGTCTTAGCTTTAAGGCCACCTACCTCTAAAGCCCAATATCATGACTAGCACTTAGAAATTGCCAAGTGAGTAGTTTAATGAATTCCAAAATAATCCAAATATCAACATTTTCCAAATAAACACAGAGATGGTGAGTCAAGGAAAGATGAACTACATTATGAATACCTACTAGATAAACAACGTTTAAAATTTCAACATTAATCAATTGAATCTTGTAAATATGGTTAATGGATAAAATTCCTAACCTTAGACTAATGATAGCTTTACAAAGAATAACAAAGATGAACAGAAACCAACTCCTAATCCTAGCTTTCAAAACCCATATCAATCCTAAAACTTACATGAAGAGATGCAACAACTTAACATTCTTGATCGTATCAGAATGGCACATAGAGTAAGAGGATCTGGCAATTTTTCAACTTAAGCAAAGACATCTACTCAGCCACTGCATCATAATCTTGAGCTTGAGGAAAGTTAGCATAACAATAAAAATCTATTTAACTAATCTCATGTCAACATAAAAATATGTAAGGATTCAGAGTTGATAAATACTGACATTCAAAGAAAAGTTCCAAAATCATCTAAAATGTCCTCTTAAGGATTAAGAAATCAAGGTTCTGTTTTATAAACTAATCTAAACCTCGAATTGGGAAATTTGGCATTAAATTCTGCTAATGAGGCTTATGACAATCCTGAGAATCAAGGGATTAACAAAAATTCCTCCTCCAAAGGAAAGATAGTTGTTCTGAAACCATCTTAAATTACTAAGGGCAGTATGTAGCCGAATTCTAAATTAAGCTCGAATTAAATGTCTTCATGTCTTCTCCAAAATCATGAGATCTCTACTTCGCCACGTCCCGCTGCCGTCATTATCTAAAAATTTAAGAAAAATGAAAATTTAGCTAGAGAAGGCATTACTGGTTCTCCTTCAGCCCAGATGAAACGTTAGAAAAGTTTTATTCATCAATAGAAATCAAAGTAAAAAGAACCAGAAGAAATTAAAGCAAATGATACTTTCGATTATAACTGGGATGATGAAACAATAAACAATTCAATTGCACATAACTAAAACAAAGCTAGCATCAAAAGTAAATTAGTTTTAAGCTCTGCAAGAAGATAAAGCTGTGGTGTGCAGAAGCATGAAGAGGTGAGCAAGATGCAGGATTATAAGGATGAATAGGCATTATTGTCTGCTAATAAAATGAATTCCGTGCGGAAAGTAATCGAAGACGCCACTCAGATATCAATCTGGGACTGACTACTTTTTTCAAATGTGCTATTAAAGTTATTTGTTTAATATATACTAATATTTATAACTTGCAACTCTCCTTTCCTTTTTTTGAATTTTATAAATAATAAAATGTCTTGAATATATAAAAGGAATATCCTCGGGGTTTTGGGGTTTTGGGGTTTTGGGG